TCTATGTATTGCGCTTAAAGCTCACCTCTTTCTTGAACCTCCAAACAGCAGACAGGTAATGGCCTTTTTCACATCATCGCTGCCATAGATGGATGGCGCTATAGACTGTGACAGAGAGTTGTAGACGTTAGGAGAAGCAGCCAGTGCCCTCAGTTCCTCCTCTTCCTGTGGGGAGACGGATCCAGTGGCACCACGGCCTAAAAGAGGAAAAAATATCCACACTTAAAGCCAGCTCTGCTCGCCTGAAACGCATCACACCCGCGTCTTAATGCAAAACCTCTTCACCTGCGCCTTCTGTGTCCACCTGGATACCGACCACTCGCAGATAGGACGCACGAATACCCACGCCAACCCCTCTCTCTTTGCCTTTGGCTTTTGGTGCAGCCATCTTTTTGATGGAGTAAATACCCATGATGGTCACCCTGTTTCCTGGGACCACGCGGTCACACAGATACCTGAGAGACAGGTGGGAAAAAGCACGAGTGTAAAAGCAGCACAGCAGCAGAAAAAGCTCAGTGTCAGTCACACAGGTGCTTACCTGTCGCAGTAGAGCTGCAGGTGACGGGGCATCTCTCCGTGCGGTACAGCATCCGGGGACTCCTGCAGGCGAAGTGTCTGGAAGTCGACGCAAACGCAGCGGTCTGGGATGATGAAGTAAGGGTCCACAGGGCACTTTACCCTGCCAGCACTCTCACTGAGAAAAGAGGGAGCCTCGTTAAAGGTGATTCTGGGTGAGGAAGTCGAGCGGAGGGTTGTTACACCATCATAATACTCACGAGTTGCACTTGCGCGGCAGGGCATAACCCTGCAGCCCTGGAGGCAGGGGGATGTTGGGGATGACGGCGCGGCAGCCGCGACACTGCAGACACACCTTGGTGGCCTTGGCTTTGACCGCCGTGGCAGAGATGATGATGCCGTGCACCTTCACCAGACGAGACACCTGCTCAGACTGCAGTGGACAGAAAAAAAAAACAAGAAAAAGTGTGATCAACCTGTCAGTAACTCCTACAGTATGACACACAAAGAGGCCTGAGAGTACCTTGAGGCTGCGGATGGATGCGTGATGAGCGTCGCTCTTCAACGTGACCTGGATGTCCTGCACAGCCTCTTCCCCGACAGGCCGGGGACGGGTCACCTCATCGGCCACCTCCTTTGCGGCTTCCTCCAGCTGTAAATTAAAAGCAGACCTTCAGACAAATGCGTCGGACAAACAAACTCCGGCCCGCCGGGACGGAGTTTGTGCGGTGTGACATGCTCACCAGAGGCAGGTTCTCAGTCGGCAGCTTGTAAAGACAGTCTGACAGATCCTCATCGAAGCTGGCGAGGTCCTCCATCTCCACCTCCAGCCAGTACTCCCCCAAGGTGTAGTGTCGCTTCAGCTCATCTCTAGTTGAATTTAGGTACAAGTGAAAATAATGCAAATTCATAGGCTGGATGAGCCCAAAATTGGCACATTTAGAGCTTTAATGGCAAATGATTCAGATGCTTCACAAAAGGATCACAAATATAACTACTGTTGGTCTCTACATGTTATGAAGCTCAAGACGTGCTAGAGCAGGGATGTCAAACTCATCAGCCACATACAGCCTACTTTAATCTTAAGTTGGCCAGAGCAGGTTCCTTTTTCCCCTTTTTTTAATCATTGATCCACTGTAAAACAAAACCAGATAGTAGACAGAAAAGTTCAATTTAGTCATTTAACTGTTTAGCTATTACTTTGGTATAGAATGAATGACCATGGGGGAGGTCTTTATTCACAAGAAAAGCTGTAAAACTGATAAAAATATAGTTAAAAGTCCAACATTTACACACTCCTTCACATTTTCCAAAGCCTTTCATTGGGCTACACTGGAGTCTTCGTCGGGCCGATTTTGTCCCTCGGGCCTTATGTTTGACACCTCTGTGCTAGAGTCTACATTTTCCACAAATTCAGCAGCCCCTGTATTTAGGCCTCCTGCCAGACTAATGAGCACTTTTAAAAAAAATAATCTCAACAGTAACTTTGTAACAAAGACAGTTCTTATTAGCTATATTACCCATATTGACATCAGATCCTGAACACTCAGGGTGCGGCTGTATAACAAACAACAGCACGGTGCGATCGCTGTTACCGTACCTGTATTTATAGGTGAAGCCGGTGCGGTCGGTCCCCACTCTGAATTGTCGCAAGAACTCACGGAACCGCTTCTTGATCTGGATCCGCTTCTGTCCACCTTCGTCCCCGCCGGGGCCCTCTCCACCTCCGAAGCTGTCACTGTAGTACACTCCTGGGTCGTCAAAGCCAGACATGCTGAATGAACCAGGTCGCAAAAGACACGAAGAAAGCGGAGTGTAAGGAAGCAAACCCAGACAAAAACAACTTTTTCTTCTTAGTAAGAACTAAGCAGGATGTAAGGTGCCGCACACAAAGCCTCCTTGCGGTGTCTCTTTCGCGGGAAAAACTAAACTCCTTCCCTTCACTTTCCCGCGAGCCGCCTCTGCGTGGCGTCATTTCCGGCACTCTGATTGGCTGATAGGAAAGGCCGTGCATAGCTATTGGTCGGCGTGGCTCCTCGGAGGTGGGTTGTCAGAGTAAAGGTGGAGCTTGTGAGCACTGATGGCGCGAAAAAGACAGCAGGAGGAGGGTAGAGGGAATCGTGGGGAGCAGGGGCGGAGCGTGGGGGTGGCTTACTGGGCTTAAGCCTGGGTTGTTTTGTCAGAAGCCCGGGGTCTTTTGGAGTGTAATTTTTTCATAGTTAGATGCCTGGCTGACAACTGTATAAAACAAAAAGTAAACACAATATTCGAAGCACGTAGTGCACACTGTGGGAATTTACGACTGTGCGTGAATCCCCCCTGATATTGGTATGATCCGAGCTCAGGCACTAAGCGACTGAGCGAG